AATTTTATCCTATAGGAACTATAGGCAGCAGAGTCCAGGAATTATCTTTGTGGCTTTCCTTTGCACCTTTTCTAATGTGCCAATATCCTGAATCAGATATGGTGGCTGAAATTGAATGTAATATTGTCAGTAAAATATTACTAATATTCACAGTCATAATGCTGTTGAACTTGCAATCCATATTATTGGGAAAGTAAGAACACATTCTATTTGTTTTACAAACTTTCACAATATAGCTTAGGTTGTTTCACATTTATATTTCTACTTATATACTCACCAAAATTATTTTTATAGTATGATGTCAATTACTGGCTACTCAAATAACAATCATAGTTTCATAACATGTGGTTGGATTGGGATTCATGTGCATAGAGTCCAGAAAATTAGAAACTTCTCCTGCCACAATCTTTAAACCAGCTCATGCCCAGGATATTCACCCTTGCACATTACAGTCATACAGTTGATGCATGGAGTTATTCATAGCACAAAAAGTTTTCAGCAGATTTTGGCAGAGGCTAGGAATCCTATAGCAAGTAACTTACCTTCTGACTCCCCAAAGCCTGTCCACCAGTACCTCTCACTTTCCTGAATGAGTGCAGCTCCAACAATATTCAAGAAGTTCAGCACCATCCAGTATAAAGCAGCCCACTTGATTGGCATCATATCTACAAATATCCACCGCCTCCACTGTCGATGATCAGAAGCAGTTGTGCAGGCTATCTACAAAATGCACTGCAGAAATTTACTAATGCTCCTTAGACGGCACTTTCCAACGCCATGACACCAGTGAAAAGGACAAGAGCAGTGGATGCATGGGAGCACTACCACCTGCAGCTTCCCTTCCAAGCTTTATTAACACATATAACTTTCCAAGACATATTAACACCAGTAAAACTCTGGAGGCCTGTGTTCAAATCCTGCCATGGAAGATTGTGAAATTTGAATTCAACTTTTAAAAATCTGGAATTAAAAGTCTGTGAAAGACTGTTGGGGAAAAGCCCATCTGGTTCATTAATGTCCTTTAGGGAAGGAAACTGCCATCCTTACCTGGCCTGGCCTATATGTGACTCCAGACCCATAGCGATGTGGTTGAATCCTAACTGCACTCTGGGTAATCAGGGATGGACAATAAATACTGGCCCAGCCAGTGACACCATCATCTCATGAATGAATAATAAAAAAAGTCTCACAACTGACCATAAACTTCTAATAACCCCATCAGGATTCTGAACAAATACTTCTGGTTTAGAACTTACACTGAGGTAACCTTTTTTTCAAAAACTTTTCTGACCTAACTGTTTGTTGCAGGAGATCTGTTTCCTTACTTCTAACATGAACCAGGGCTCCTACAAATTCAAACCAAATTATGTTCTGATCTTTGGGTGTTTCGCCTAAGATAAAAAAACTTGATACTTCTAACTGAAAGCAGCCTTATTCTCCTCAATGTTTATTCTAGCTACCTCTATAGCTCTTGAAATGCAAGCAAATTAGCATTAACAGTCCAGGAACCGCTCAGCACAGTCACATATTCACGTACGTTCAGCAAGTGGTAACTTCTGCAGTTGCTGTAAGTCTCAGGATTGCAATACAGTGCCCACAAAGTCACATTTGTGCATTGATAGGACTTTGCAATATGGGATTGCCTACTGTTCTGGCAAAGCCACATGCAGTCTCCACCTGCTTCTCTCTGGTCAGAGACAATAAAATGAACCATCTCCTATCCTGGCATTAAGAGTGTCTCTCACCTCTCTGATGCAGCAGAAGATGGTGAAAAGCATCACATAAAAGCGATACAAGGCTGGGTGGGAGGATGAGCTCTGAGGAGGATGCAGAGATGCTTCAGTGTAACTTGGGCAAGTTGAGTGAATGGGCAAATCCATGACAGGTGAAGTATAATGTGGATAAATGTGAGGTTACCCACTCTGGTGGCAAATAAAGAAAGACTTACTATTATCTGAATGGAGATTCATTGAGAAAGGGAGGAGTGTAATGAGGCCTGATCAGTCACTGTAAGTACGCATGCAAGTGCAGCAAGTGTGAAGGATGCACATAGTATGATGGCCTTCACAGTAAGAGGATTCAAGTACAGGAGCAGAGTTATGGAAGGTGTGCAATGAATTCCTGGGATGGTAGGACTGACATTTGCCGAGAAGCTAGATCAGTTAGGTTTATATTCACTGGAATTTAGAAGAATGAGGAGGAATCAAAGAAACCTATAAAATTCTAACAGGACAAGACAGGCTGAGCACAAAAAGTATGTCCCTGATGACTGGGGAGTCCAGAACCAGGGGTCACAGTTTAAGCATAGGGATTGGCCATCTAGGATTGATATGAGGAGCAATTTCTTCACCCTGTGCATGCTGGAAATCTGAAATAAAAACAGAAATAGCTGGAGAACCTGAGCAGGTCTGGCAGTATCTGTGGAGGGAAACCAGAGTTAACATTTCAGAATCCAGTGATCCTGGACTTTGTGAAGAAGGGTTACTCGACTTGAAACTTTAACTTGGCTGTTTCTTCACAGATACTGCCAGACCTACTCAGTTTCTCCAGCTATTTCTGTTTTTGCCCTTGACCCACTTACCTGACACACGTACCTTCGCTCAGTCATTGCCAAAGTGGTTTTGAGCCTTTCAACATTTTACTTGCAGAATACAGCAGCCATTGCTGTAAAAAGGTAATGTGGCTTAGGCAAAATTTCATTGCCAGTATGGATTGTTAGGTTGTGTTTGTTGGGACAGATCCGGTATTGGAAGACAGGCCTGAAAAATAATGTGAGGGGACGATCGTAAATTTTTAATCTCATTTGGATTGGAAATAGGGATTCTGAACCAAGATGCTTTGCCTACATCATTAAAAGTGGTTTGGATTTATCACCATAGAATCCCTACTGTGTGGAAGCCGGCCATTTGGCCCATCAAATCCACACGAACACTCCAAACAGCGTCCCACCCAGAGTCACGCCCCTACCCTATACTATCCCTGTAACTCTGCATTTCCCATGGATAGCCCACCTACTCTGCACACTATGGGAAATTTAGCATGGCCAATCCACTTAATCTACACATCTTTGGGCTTTTGGAGGGAACCCACACAGACATGGGGAAAACCTGCAAACTCCACACAGTCACCTGACGGTGGAATCAAACCCAGGTCCCTGCCGCTATGAGGCAGCAGTGCTAACCACTGAGTTACCTTGCCACACTGTTGCAATCCTTGTATCTGATTACTGACTTTCTCCATTATTTTTGTCCTTATGTTTACTTACTACTCTTAAAATTGGAAATGTGTTTTAGAGCGCATTATAGACCTAGAGGGTAAGAGCAGAAAGAATTGAATTAGCCAATGGAGCAAGTGAAAAAAAAAGTATTGAAAATGATTTGGAAATTGGGAGAAAAATGGTAAAGCTTTAGTACTGAATAGTGGCTGAAATAATAATCCTTATCACTGATGTTAATAAGAAGTGAAACAGGTGTGAAGTTATATATGCAAAATCAAAGAAAGAAGATCCTAAAGGAAGCTGGTGAGATAGGATATGGTCAGACCAAGAAGGTAAAAGATCTTAAATACATTTCAATATGGCACAAGAATCTGCTGCATTCAGAAGGAGGAATATGAAAGTCAAGATGTTGATTACAGCATTCTGAACAAGTTCCAGTTCATGCAAGGTGATAGCATGGGAGACGTGCTTAACAACATTATAGACGTCAGGTTTTGAGGTGGTAAGGGGGTGAATTAAGATCCAACAGTAGAGGAGATTCGGCGATGTAAACAAGCCATGTCTGAAAGTGTTACCGGCCCATTATGGACCGTTAACCTTAAAGGAAAAATTTGACACCTGTCATTTAACTGATTAAACTATACCACAAATGGTACAGTTTTCAATTAAACAAACTTTATTGTATATCAAAAATAATTAAACAAAGTAAAGACTACTAATACTGTAATTTATTTTTACATTTTATATGTTGTGAAATAAGTTTTAATTTTTACTTACACCAAAGAGTTTCTTATGGAATCTTGAACTTCATTTTTCCTGGGACAAAAAGTATGCCACAGACCTCTGGAAATGATTTTGATTCTCCTTGATACTTTAGCTTTCTCCATGGTACATGATTTATTGGGAAACTCTGAGGAAAGGTCACCAGATTCAAAACGTTAACTCTGTTTTTTTCCTTCACAGATGCTGCCAGACCTGCTGAGGTTTTCCAGCAACTTTGTTTTTGTTCCTGATTTACAGCATCCGCAGTTCTTTCGGTTTCCATTAGGTTTTGGTTCAATGACTCTCCATTGTCTTCAAAACATCATGCCAGTGGATTCTTCAACCCCTTATGTTGATTTTGGACATAATTAGATTAATTTTCCCAGCTGTTTCTGTAACTTTTGTGCAGCTTTTTCCTAGTTAACTATTCAAGCTGATTTATTTCCTCTACTAGGCTCTGTGAGGATCACTGTAGTACCTTCAAACTTGGCACATTTTCAAAATTCATTCCCTTTCACAATGTCTAAACTGTGCACAAGTGTCTACACACACACCATAATAACAAAAAAAGTTGGTAGCTTCTCAGCTTAAAAGTATGTCTGACTAATATTCATTTCCTTTTAGCTCTTTAACTACTTCTATCTGCTCCCAAATTGAACTGCTTGCTTCTGTCAGTAAACACACATAAACAAATTAAACAGAAGGATCTTCTCACCAAGGCTCAACCCTGACTAACTATCTCTTGGAAAGATGGTCTGCTTTGGGATCGACTCAAACAGAAATGTAAAGAAATTCTTTCACTTTCAACATAATTCTTTGGCCACAATTTTAATGGTGGTGAGGTTTGCTTTGTGACTGCCCAATGAGTGGACAATGCCAATACCATCGCTACCTATAATTGCTGCCCCACAGCCATTGGCTGGAGATGAGACTTGTGTCCATTAATTAGAAGGAAGTCCCACCTCAATCTGATTGGCAGCAGCTCTCTCGGCCCAGTGGTGCTAGCAGATGCAGTGGATAACTCTGGGACTACAAGCAGTCTCCTTGTCTAAGTCCCAGGAATCCAGGATGAGGTAAGTGGACCTCAGGTCACCAAGGGGAGGTAATTCCTTGAGGCTTGGGGATGTGTGTGAGGAGTTGAGGGTGAGGATGTTGAAGGCAAAGCTGAGGGAAGGCATTATCTGCAACAGGAAGGCCTTGTGGGACCGGAAACACAATGTTGAAAGGAGGCTGTTGAAGGATGTACTCCTCCCCCACCCATCCTTCCCCATCTATGGCCTGACCAGAGTCACATTTCATCTACACACTCATCCCTGAACTCTTCCTGCCAGACTGAAAGTTGAGGTGGCGCTGGAAACAGCTCTTACATCATTATCAATTGACTGCTTATGGGTCTAAATAGGTGAAATGTGGTCCATCCTAGGCCTCACCTGTCCCATTATAAAATGTTGGAAAGTATTGGTTGGGTGGAAGGCCAGTGGGAGGTCTATTTGAGAAATGTTATACCCTGTTCCCCTCCACCTGTGAATTCATTGGTAAGGGAATGTGATATTCTGTCCACCAGCAGTCATCGGTCTAGAAAGAGAGAGTGGCCCTATGGTTTGGTGACACTGTGGTGACTTCCCTTACCTTATTGCTAATGGAATTTTATGACTTTTTTCACTTTCCCAGGCTAATAAGCTTAGAGATGGAACATCCATTATTCAAGTTTTTTTTTACTGTCAACTTGGACTTTGCAAGACAACAGAAGTTACATTGTAAGTGTAAAAAACCCAGACTGGTTTGAATTGCATTAACATCGGTTTCATTTTCACCACTTTATCAAATGGATGTCCCAATTTTCTACAGTTAAACTTCAACCCATATAACTAAAAGTACTATACCAAAACATTTGAATTACAAACCAGACTTATGTCACAAAGCATGATAGAATGTAATCTCTTGGTCAACTCTTGGGAGAAACCTAATCCTTAGATCAGACAGTATTTCAAAGTTTCAGATCATTAAATTTAGCAGAAACTTCAATCAAAGAGGTTAGATGGATTGGAAGAGCAAAGCTATATAGTTCCTAAATTGAAGGTGATGATTCCAGTTTTGGCTATGTAGAATTTTATCAATAAGAATGTCAGAATAGCAGTTGCACAAACACTGACCTTAGAGTGAAAACAAAAGACTGAAAGTATTAAGCTGGGTATTATCACTGTAAAGACTTTGTTGACTGTGTAGACATGAGAGGAGAAGCCACGTGAAGATCCATAATATTATTACAGAGACACTTATGAAGGACAGAGTAGAGTGGAAATATGCTGTGAAGAAACATCTAAGGACAATTGAATGACGACATTGTCAAAACAGCAATGAGGTCAAAAAGGATAAAGAGGTACAGTGCAGAATATGTCTCTTTGACCAAAGCAGCCACGGTATAAAGAATAGTAGGAGGGGTGGGTGTGTAGTTATGAGGCAATAATACATTGGAGAATTTTAGAGACAAAAAGAAGATTTGAGATAGGTTGATAACAGGATAAAAACTGAAAGAATTGCGATGCTGTAAATCAGGAACAAAAACAAAATTGCTGGAGAGGCTCCGCAGGTCTGGCAGCATCTGTGAAGGAAAAAACTGAGTTAACATTTCAGGTCCGATGACACTTCTTCAGAACAGGATAATGGGAATGGGTTAAAAGATAGAGACAAAACTGGATGATGATGATTGGTGGATGCGATTAACAAGCAGAGGAATGAAAAGGGGAATTTGGATGATAAAGTGGAGATAAGGAGGATAGTTGATGGTGACATAGTGGATTTTGCAGATTGGGGACTTCAATGATAACACCATCTTAGTTGTGGGAAAATCAGTGGGATAATGGATGGGAGTAGTTTTGGAAGAGAAGAAATGATAGGAATGCCTGACTCCCCAAAGCATGTCCATCCACAAGACACAAATCAAGAGTGTAATAGAATACTCCCCATTTGCTTGGATGAGTGCAGCTCCAGCAACACTCAAGAAGCTTGACACCATCCAGGACAAAGTAGCCCGCTTCATTGGCACTACATCCACAAGCATCCACTCCCTTTACCATCGATGCTCAGTAGCAGCAGCGTGTACTATCTACAAGATGCACTGCAGAAATTCACCAAAGAGCCTCAGACCGTACTTTTCAAACCCACAACCACTTCCATCTAGAAGGACAAGGAAAGGAGATATATTGGAACACCACCACCTTCAAGTTCCTCTCCAAACCACTCACCATCTTGACTTGAAAATACATTGCCGTTCCTCCACTGTCGCTGGGTCAAAATCCTGGAATTCTCTCCCCAATGGCATTGTGGGTCAACCCAAAGCAGGTGGACTGCAGCAGCTCAAAAAGGGAGCCCACCACCAACTTCTCAAGGGCTACAACAGAAGGCCAATAAATGTTGGCCAGCCAGCGATTTCCACATCCCACAAATGAATTAAAAAATTACAGTTAAGGGATACAATAAGGCAGCCATGTGACTCAGAAGATTCAGCACAAATAAATTCATGAACTCCATGGGATCTTTGAATTTAGAATGTGAGGCAACTGTAGATCATGGAAAAGGGAACGACAAAATGTTTCCTGATAGTAAAATATAGAAATTTTGAAATTGCTGCTGCTATGAAGGATAATTTTAGAATAACAGTAGATTATGCCAGAGAGAGGAGCCATGGCAATTCCTCAGCTGTTCAAGCCAGATTTAGCAATGAACTATAAGATCAGTCACATGCCAGGTATGGTGAGGAAAAGATACAGAAATGCGATAGAATAAATAGCTCCAGTTTAAGACATGGCACAAACACTAGGATGAATGCACTGTTTATGTATTGTAATTTCAATAGCTCATAATTTTGATTTAATTCACTGATTGCTTGAGACAAGCATACTTCATGGCATTCTGTTGAATTGTAAAAAAATGATTATGAGATGATTGACTTAGTGGAGGCTAATATGTCCAGTTTTTTTCTGGTTTAATCTATATTTTCTAATTTTCTCCCCTGCTTCACTGAAGGTATTGACTTCAGCTGGGGTCTGCTGCTGAAGTGCTAGCTGCTCCAATACCTTGCCCAAGGGATCACTCTTCACAGAGGCTGATTCATTTAACCAACAATAAGATGAAAGGACAGAATAACATTTTTTACTCACTTATTTCAACTGCTTTTCATAATGCTCCTCATTCACTGAAATTAACATGCAACATGATTGTTATTAGTGGAATAAATGCACTCTCATCCAGATTGTTCTTGGTTAACCCCACACCTAAAAAGCAAATATAGCTTGCATTTATACATCATGCTCTGAACAGAATAAAAGCAAAAGAAAAAGCATTCAATGTAGTGAAGATTAGTGGGGAGTCATAGGATTGAGAAACCTTTAAAAACTAGCAGAGGATAACTAAAAAAGCAATAAGTGGGGGAGAAGATGAAATATGAGGGTAAGAAAGCTAATAATATAAAAGAAGATTGCAAGGGTATTTTTAGATTTATAAAAGGTAAGAAAGAGGTAAGAGTGGAGATTGGACTGCTGGAAAATGAGGCTGGAGAAGTAGGATGGGGAACAAAGAAATGGAAGAGGAACTGAATAGACACCTTGCATCAAACGTCACAGTGGAAGACACCAGAGGAATACCAGAACTTCAAGAAAGTCAAGGGACAGAGGTGAGTGTAGTGGTCATCACTAAGGAGAAGGTGCTGGGGAGCGGAGTGACCAAATTTCCTGGTTTGGAAGTACCAGACAGGGCAAAAGAGGGAGGAACAGAGAAAAAGAGTGAGGGAAGGCTTAAGTGTTGATAGTGAACAAAGAATTGGTCACCTCCTAATGGGGAAGAAAGGGACAAGGGCAGAATTAAATTGTGTACATAAATGCATGGAGTATAGTGAACAAAATGGGGGAACTGGAAGCAAAAATCACTCTGGGGGTTAATGGTATAGTAACATTGACAGAAACATGGCTCAAGCCAGAACAGGACTGGACACTTAACAGCTCAGCATCAGACTTTTGGTCGATTGAGTTGTTGGAGGGCAATCATTTCAGTCCCAAGAATCCATGGCAAGAGTTCTTTGGGGTAGTCCTCAAACCAACCATCTTCAATTGTTTCAACAATGATCTTTCCTCCTTCAAAAGGTCATAAGTGAGGCTATTTGCTAATGATTGTACAATGTTCATTTCTTTTCACAATTCCTCTATTAATGAAACAGTCCATGTTCACTTGCATCAAGACTTGTACAACACCAAGCTTGGACTTGCCCTTTAGGAAGTGGTGACAAGCTGCCATCTTGAATTATTGTAGTTCATGTGATGTAAGTACACCCTCTGTGTTACTAGGGAGCTAGTTCCAGGATTTTGATGCAGTGACAGTGAAGGGATAACAATAAAAAATTCACGTCAGGATAACGTGAGACTTGGAGAGAAGCTTACAGGTAATGATGTTGCCATACATCATTTTCCCTTGTCCATTTAAATGGGAGAGATTGCAGGTTTGAAAGGTGATGTTGAAGGAGGCATTGCAAGTTGGTGCAGTGCATCATGCACATAGTACACAATGTTGCAATTCTAAAGGTGTGCAGAACCTGGGTGTGTATATATATATGCAGATCATTGAAGTTGGCAGAACAGGTGGAGAAAGCAGTAGATGAAGCAAACCTTGTTCTAAGCTTTATTTATAGGGATATAGAATACAAGAGCAAGGACGTAATGCTGAACCTTTACATGATTTTTGATAGGCATCAGCTGGAATACTATGTACAGTTGTGGGTGTCAGATTATAGTAAAGATCTGAATACATTGGAGAGAGTGCAGAAGCGATCTATAAGATTGGTTCCAGAGATATGAAACTTCAGTTATCGGAGTAGTTTGAAGACATCTGTTTGAAGAGAAGAAGGCTGAGAGAACTTTCAGCAGAGGTTTTCAAATCATATGCAGGCTGGATGGAATAGATAGGGAGAAGTTGATCCTGCTCATAAAAGAGAAAAAGAATGAGAGGGCATAGATTGAAAGTGATATGCAAATAAAGCAAGGATGATGTGAGAATAAACTTTTTCATTTAGCAATTAATCAAGGTTTACAATGCACTACATGGAAATGTGGTGGAGGCAGGTTTAATTAGGGCATTCAAGAGGACATTGGATGATAATTTGTATAGAAATGGTGTGCAGGAATATGGGGAAAATGCAAGAAATTGGCATTAGGTAATAGAACTGGTGATGGCACGATGGGCCGACTGGGCACTTTCTGCAGCATTACAATTCTGATTCTCAGATTTTGAGATTCTGTGAATGTTTCAGGTGGTGGATGGTCAAGCAGGTTGCTTTGTCCCATTTGGTGCTGAGTTTTTTAAGTGCTGTTGAACCTCTGCTCACCCAGAAAAGTGGAGACTATTCCATCATGCTCCTGAATCGTGCCTTGCAGTGCAACCTCTCTCCATGGCAGCTCCGACGGCATCTCCAAAACCCAAAACCACTATCTTATAGAAGGGTAAGGGCATTTAGTCAATGGAAACACCACAATCCCTAAATTCCCTTCCATATCACACATTAGTCCAATGTAGAACCATTTCATGAGTTCCGTTTTCTCCGGTTCTATGTTTTGGAATTCCCTCCCAAGCAACAATGTACCTGCACCACTGACAGTGCAGCAGTTCAATGATGCAGCTCATCATCACATGTCCCAAGGACAATTAGGGACAGGCAGTAAATGCTGGCTTTGTGAGTAACACCTAATAAATAAAAACGACAAAATGAATGTATTTTAATTACAGATTTTCATCATCTGCTTTTGTGATGTGAGATTAATTCTTTAATTGTCCAGGGATTTAGCTTGTAAACTAAAAATCAGGACCTTTAGCTTAGTAATCTCAGAACTACTCCACATGCTACTGAGGCTAGGAACAAAGTACAATAAAATACATGGCTAAAGAGCTGGTGTTCGGGTTGGGGGTAAGGTTTCAGATATGTGGATCATTGGGATGTATTCCAGGGAAAGTGGGACCTGTACAAGAAGGACGGGTTGCATCTAAGCTAGAGGAATACAATATCCTGGCAGAGTGGTTTGATAATGCCACTCAGGAGGCTTTAAATTAGTGTGGCGGGGAATGGGAACCGGAGCAACAGGTCACTAAGTATAGAGACTGGGGAAGATCTTGAGACTAAGGCAGATATCAGAAGAAGAACAGTCAGGGAGAGATTGTTGAGCTCAGTGGAACTGAAGGCTTGGACAGATTTGCTTCAACGCAAGAAGTATAACAGGTAACACAGATGAATTTATAGCTTGGATTAATGCATAAAGTTATGATATTGTTGCTTTCACAGAGATATAGTTGAAAGAGAGACAAAATTGGCAGCTTAATGTTCCAGGATATCGATGTTTTAAACGAGACAGAGGAAGAAGCAAAAGAGTTGGGGGAATTGCATTACTGGTTAGGGAACATATCATAACAATGTTGAGGAAAGACACCCTGGACGGATCTTGCAGTGAGACATTATGGGTAGGGCTCAGGAATAGGAAGGGTGCAATCACAATACTGATATTGTACTACAGACGTCCCAGCTGCCAGTGGGAGATAGAGGAAGAGATATGTTGTCAGATTCTGGAAAGATTTGAAAATAACAGGATTGTAATGGTGGGTGATTTTAACTTCCCCATATTGACTGGGACTCCCTTAGTGCCAGGGGTTTGGATGGGGATCAATTTGTTAGATGTGTTCAGGATGGGATTTTTGAAACAAAATGTGAATAATCCAATGAGGGAGGGGGCTGTAGCCGGACCTGGTATTGGGAAATGAGCCCAGACAGGTGATCAAATTTACAGTAGGGGAACATTTTGAAATAGTGACCATAATTCTGCATGTTTTCGGATATTATGGATAAGGACAAGAGAGGAAGTCGGATGAAGGTGTTAAACTGGGGCAAAGCCAACTATAACCGAATTAGGCAAGAATTGGAGAATATGGATTGGGAGTGGCTGTTTGAGGGTAAATCCATATCTGACATGTGGGACTCTTTTAAAGACCAATTGATTAGGGTGCAGGACAGGTATGTTCCTGTGAAAATGAAGGACAGGATTTGGGAACCTTGGATGACATGGGAAATCATCAATGAAAACCAATGATCTAGGCATACCTAAGATCTATGTAACTAAAAACAGACAAAGTCCTTGAAGAATATACAGAAATTGAGAAGGAGCTCAAACGGAGAGTTAGGACGGCTAAAAGGAGCTATGAAATATCCTTGGCCAGCAGGGTTAAGGAGAATCCAGGGCAAGAGGACAGCTGTGGATGGAGAAAGTAGGTCCACTCAAAGATAAAGGAGGGCCATTATGTGTGGAGCCACAGGAAACAGGTGAGATCCTTAATGAGTACTTTACATTGTTATTCACCAAAAAGAGGGACGTGAGGGATGTTGAAGTTAGGGAAAGGTGTGTGAATACTCTCGGGCAGGTCAACACAATGAAGGAGGAAGTATTGGGTGTCTTGAAATGCATTCAGGTAGGCAAGTCCCCAGTGCCAGATGGGATCTATCCCAGGATACTATGGGAGGCAAGGGAGGAAAGAGCTGGGGCCTTATCAGACATCTTTGCATTCTATTTGGCCTCAGGCAAAGTTCCAGAGGAGTGGAGAATGGCCAATGTTGTTCCTTTGTTTAAGAAGGGAATCGAGGTAATTACAGACTGGTGAGCCTGACATCAGTGGTGGGGAAGCAGCTGGAGAAGAAAGTGAGAGATAGGATTTATTCACATTTAGAAGTTAACCATTTGATTTGATTATTACTGTCACATGTACCAGGGTAAATGCTGGCTTTGTGAATAACACCTAATAAATAAAGACAAAATGAATGTATTTTAATTACAGATTTTCAGTGCTGTTTTACATGCAGATCATACTGTACAAGTACATCAGGGTAACAGAACAGAGTGCAGGATACAGTGTTACAAGTCCACTCAAAAGTCTGATAACAGCCAGGAAGTAGCTGTTCTTGAATCTGTTCATACGTGTGTATAAATTTTTATATCTTTTGCCTAATGGAAGAGGGTGGATGAGAGTTTAATCGGGGGTGGGAGGGATCTTTGATCATGTTGGCTGCTTTTCTGATGCAGCAGGAAGTATAGATGAGGTCAATGGACTTGTTAGTGATGGGCATCATGGGTATGTATGGGGAAGGTCATGGCTCACCAACTTCATTCAGTTTTTTGAGGAGGTGACAAAAATGATTGAGGGAAGGCCAATGGATGTTGTCTACGTGGACTTTAGTATGGCATTTGATAAGATACCTCATGGCAGGCTGGTACAAAAGGTAGAGTCTAATGGGATCCCAGATGCACTGGCTAGATGGATACAAAACGGGCTTGGTCATAGAAGACAGAGAGTAGCTGTGGAAGGGTGCTTTTCGAAATGGAGATCAGTAACTAGTGGTGTTCCACAGGGATCTGCACTAGGACCTTTGTTATTTGTAATATACATATAAATGATCTGGAAGAAAATGTAGGTGGTCTGATTTGTAAGTGTGTGGATGACACCAAAATTGGCAGAGCTGCAGATAGCGAGGAGGATTGTCAAGGGATACAACAGGATATAGATAGCTTGCAGATTTGGGCAAAGAAGTGGCAGATGGTGTTTAATCTGAACAAATGTGAGGTGACACATTTTGGAAGATCAAATTCAGGTGCGAATTATACAATAAATGGCAGAACGCTCAGGAGCTATGACATAGAGAAGGATCTGGGCATACAGGTCCATGGATCCCTGGAAGTGGCAACGCAGGTGGATAATGTAGTCAAGAAGGCAGACAGTATGCTGGCCCTCAACGCTGGGCATGGAATGTAAAAGTTGGCAAATTATGTTACAGCTGTATGAAACTTTAGTTAGGCCACATTTGGAATATAATAGTCAGTTCTGATCGCCACACTACCAGAATGATGTGGATGCTTTGGAGAGGGTGCAGAGAAGATTTACCAGGACATTGCCTGGTCTGGAGTGTTTTAGTTATGAGGAGAGGTTGGATAAACTTGGACTGTCTTCACCGGAAAGATGAAGGTTGAGGGGTTACCTGATAGAGTTCTACAAAATTATGAGAGGCATCGATAGGCTGGATAGTCAGAGGCTTTTTTCCCAGGGTGGAAAGGTCAGCTACAAGAGGGCACAGGTTCAAGGTGAGGGGAGGGGGAAAGTTTAGGGGAGAAGTGCAGGGAAAATTTTTCGCCCAGAGGCTGTCGGGTGTCTGGAACGCACTGGCAGTGGAGCTGGTGGAAGCAGGCATGTTAGCAACGTTTAAGGTGTATCTTGATAGATGCATGAAAAGGAGGTGAATAGTAGGATAGAAACTGCATATGGGCAATCAATAGTGGTTCTAAATAAGGATTAGGAATTGATTTGGCCAGCCAAAGGGCCCATTCCTGTCTGTATTGGATTGTTGTATTGTTATTATATTGTCTAAATTTAGTTTCACTTGCCCTAACATGAAATGCACTATAATCTAATCGGTCAGTCATCCCAAAATATGACAAAAGACAAATTCCCAGGTGCAGTATAAACTCAGAAAACCTACCCTTTAATTTTAGCATTAAAATAAATAAATAGCAATCACATTTTTTATGTAATTCAGTATTTCTTTACAACAGAAGACTGTGGAGGCTGGACCCTTAATTAACTGAAGGTTGTGATGGTTAGATTTTTTAATCAGTAATGGAATGATGAGTTATGTGAAAAAGACAGATCAGCCATCGTCTCATTGAATGGCGGAGCAGACTCGATGGGCCAAATGGCACCCACATTCAGCCAGGAATGCCGAGTGGATAATTTCTCTCAGCCCCCTCCCAAGATCCCCAACAACACAGATGCCAGTCTACAGCCATTTTGATTGATTCTACATGATGAGGAGCAACGGCATGGGATACTATAAAGACTATGGGCCCTGACAATATTCCAGCAAGATTTGTGCTTCAGAACTGTTGCACCCCTGGTCAAGCTGTTCAAGTACAGTGACAACAACACTGACATCAACTTGGCAACATGGGAAAAATGCCCAGTATGCCCTGTGCTCAAAAAGCATGACAAATCTATAATTTATTCAATAATAACATTGAGCACCGTTAACCTCACCATATTAATTCATGCAACATCAGGGCATAGGTACTAGATTGGATGTTCATGAAGCTAAATAACACAAATAATACATGGAAATAATCTATTTGATCTGTCTTTACAAGTCTAACTATAGTAGTCATGTTTGATCTCAATATCTCACCCAGAGGTTGCTCCGAATCTGCTATCTGCACTGTCCATTATCCCCAAGGATTAAATCCTGGTGAAATCTCTGTCAACAAGAAAGATTCCACTACTGCAGAAGTACAAAGTGTGTTGTTACAGTGGAATACTTCTTGTGTTACCAAGAGAGTCTGATAAGAGAGATAAGAATCAGAAACAAATTAAACATGTCACTTTCTTTTTTTAAATCTCCAACAATAATCACATTAGAAGTTATGAAACTGCACCCATGTAAAATTCAAATTCAAGATGAGAAATGTTGTAACAGAACTTTGAATGTTTTGTACATTTTAAACAGAAAGCTACAGGCGATATTTATGGTGCTACATCTTGGAAAATGGACTACTACCAGAGCTCTTCCATCCATCCAGTGACCATGGGTTTGTCACTGCTGCCACAGACCTATTGCCACCCTTCCCCTGGTCAGTCCTGGGGCTAACAGGTGATAGACAGTGAAAGGACAAACTTTGTAGTGACACCATGCAGAGGAAACTTCATCTTGAGGTAGAGTTGCAGCAATAATTTTCCTGCCTCATTTCCTGCCTATTATCTACCCCTATCCTGCTCAATTCAGGATAGGGACATCATACAAAATTCAGTTTGTAACATTCTCCAACAGCATGAATTGGTTAAAAGATCTTTAATGGTCTGCAGTGACCACGTTAGACTCTGCATTGGAAAGATATAATTTATAACTGTGCTTCATTTAATTTCTCCAAATTCAATTGAATTCAAGTGGAAGATGACAAAAAATGAATGATGGTATGCGAAAAGCTTATTGATACAGGCAAGCATTGTAATTTAGGATTTCTGATTAACTGGGAAGTTTTTTTTGCATAATAATTAATAAGGGAATCTTTAATTTAACAAATGCATTGCCTACATGTGACAGAAATTTGTTAATTATGCTTTTATAAGCACATTAAAGTCATCAATGTTTTCCAAAATTACTTCAAAATGGAAGCAATTAAATTTATATATTTCTTTCACTGACCAAAATCATAAAAAGGATGAAAAGATGTTTATGTAAAAATATGCATGTTAGTTATGTTTGAAAAATCAATAGTAAATATATATTTCAGAAACAAGACAATATAACATTATATGTTAGAGATGACTGTCTAAACCTAAATAGTAAATACATATTCTAGCACAAGCTGCAAAATACATAACATCATAAATTCATAAAACAGCAAAATAAACAAAATATTTGGGTCATAGAACCAAAGTGTTAGATATAAAATGTACAATACATATCTTAAAATTAATAAAGCATGCTATTCCACGTCTGTCTCATGGTTAAAAGATGCTGCAGTTGCAGGCTTGTTAAAATTCTGATGAAAGTTATTAATTTGAATTGTTTTGCCAATATGGCCCTTTAAACCTTTTTGGATCAATAGAAATCAAGAAGTGAGTACTGCAGCATTCGCTGAAGAATCGGTGTCATTGGATTCAAGATTTAAATTAATTTCTATTAAACTGTGCCAATGTGACTTACGGCACAGATGTCAAATCTACTAAACAGTTCACACATTCTCAGTCAAGCAACCAACACAGAAGGCAAGTGATGCAAACACAACACTCATTTTTCTCATTTTAATGCAGCCTTTTGAAAGCTGTACATTATAGTCAGCAAAGAACATCCATCATAAATAGATGTATCAAGATCATTTCCATTTTATAGAGGAAATCTGAAGTCAGTTCAAGAGATTTTTGATTCAGGCACCAGAAAAAGGTAAGTTTTATGTTTAACGTGGAGTGAAGTGGTAGAGCGAACAAAAAATGGAGAAAAAATGAGAAACCAGATGCAGAGTGGGATTGCATTATGCTGAAAGTGTAAATATGTTTTCCTTGGATATTATCACATGATTTCAACAGTATTGTAATAACAAAGCCTTCTTGGATGTATTTATTTATTGGCATGTTACATTCTTTTTCAACAAGTCTACACGATTGTATAAAATTTATAGTGTGCTTAGGTTGTACTACAGGCTAATGAAGAAATATTATCGCTTACATAATTGCAGGCATAATTTTCCAAGAGCCATTTTTACTGATTGCTGGACTTTTTCAGATATTTTCTTTCCATTATATGTGTTGCCATGCAGCAGGCTTATGCGTTGTGTCTGAGCACACACCAGCATTGACCTTTGCTGTAAGATCCACTATAGGCAGCACAAAGTCTCACATCAATTTACCAAGATTGGATGTGGCATCTTGTGGTTAATTTGATTTAGAAAAAGATGCACCTGGCCCTCCATTTCCCCAAGGGTCGGGGAGGGGGTCTGGGCCCTACAGACGTTATCCATCTGAGTGGCCCATGTGCCTTTCAAGTTCTGAACAGTTTATCTTCATTCTCCAACTTTTAACCCTTATTATACAGATGACATTCCCAATTCACATGGATATTTTTGCTTGACATTTCCTGGTGCAATCATTTACTTGGACGTATAAATAGATAAATACACATGCTCAGCAATAACTCTTGTAGATGCACACAGATAAATAGCTGCACTGATATAGTGAACACATGATTCGATAACTTATCTTATAAGGAATTAAAATAAACATAGAAATGGTTGAATAGGGATATGCTGCCTCTCTCTTTTTCCACTATATATAGAGGATGTAATGGATACCGTAAGTGAATTACATGGCAGTAATCCAATCGAGGGGTTCAGGTGATGTCATAATCCCCTGAGAGTGATACTTGAGTGGTTTATTGTCATCTGAACCCCAAGATTGGATTAGTGCCTCAGTGAATTCAAGAGACTTATTATCTTTGATAATAAAAGTAAAATACAGGCTTCTTTTTTGATGGAGAAATGGTCACAGTCGAATTTTATGCAAATTTTCTTGTTACTATTTCAAAATAAAGTCCGTGTTGTGTAATTCCAAACACCACTGTTATCAACCTAATGATACAAAATGTATCAATGTGGCCCAGTTTTCTCGGGCCAAAGAAATGTCTATAGGAGGGTCAATTCTAACTGGGTCAATATCTGTGTGTGCAGGATGGAAGCAAGCAAGAGAGGCATGTTCAATTTCAAATTGCTAGGCCTCCCTTTCATGGTATGCATTTGACTTTGGTCCAAAATTGACAGGAATGAGTTCAGAACCAGTTGATGGAAGCACGAATGGAATTTGGATAGTGGCAGAGATTGGATGGATCCTCAATAAAGAGGTGAGTTTTGGATGGTGGTGTTGCTGGTTTTGGAAGGAAGTTGGATGGACGTTGGTTTGCAGAGCCACTGCCATTTGTGAGAAGGGGAGGAAATGTCCAGGCAAAGAATGCCGAAAGTGCCCTTGTAGGATGAGGAGGGCATTTATTACTCCTAGTCTTTAAGGAAAGCTTCCAAAATTTAGCTTCGCTCTTCAGGTCACTCTGTGCAATCTGTGGGGTGTCTCTAATAGGTTTTCCACTGGTTGGACTTCCCTCAAGCTGCAGTAAAAATTGTGGTTTCACATATTATATTTCTGATAAGTTCCACCCTACTTGGCTTAATATCACCCATGGACAAAGCAAATGGAAATGGGAGAGAATAGAATGACCTTGGGCCAATGAACAGACTTGTTTGTTATTAAAGAAAAATCTGGAGAAATTAAACAAGGCACTTCAGCTACAGCTTTAAAGGTTTGTAGCTGTTTTACGAGGCTGAAACACACTGATAACTTCAATGAGAGATAGTAGGAACTGCAGATGCTGGAGAATCCGAGACAACAAGGTGCAGGGCTGGATGAACACAGCAGGCCAAGCAGCATCATAGGAGCAGAGAGGCTGACGTTTCGGGCCTAGACCCTTCATCAGAAAAGGGGGAGGGGAAGGGGGTTTTGAAATAAATAGGGAGAGTGGGAGGCGGATAGAAGAGGGATAGAGGAGAGGATAGGTGGAGAGGAAACAAACAGGTCGAAGAGGCGGGGATGGAGCCAGTAAAGGTGAGTGTAGGTAGGGAGTTAGGAAGGGGATAGGTCAGTGCAGGGAGGACGGACAGGTCAAGGGGGCGGGAACTTCAATGAGTCTGGTGAGGGACAAAAAAGCCTGTGCCTGAATAAACAACTGGAACGGACAATTTGCATATTGAAATGCTTAGACCATAAGATGTAGGGACAGAATTAGGCCATTTAGCCCATCAAGTCTACTGCATGATTTGATTATGACTGATATGTTTCTCAACCCCATTCGCCTGCCTTCTCCATTACTAATTGAGAATTTATCTATCACTGTCTTAAATGCGCTCAATGAATTGGCCTCCACTGCTTTCTGCAGAAATGAATTCCATGGTTCACAACCATTTCACTGAAGAAATTCGTCCTGTTCTCATTCTAAAGGGTCATCCTTTCGTTCTCCCTCCATTCTTAAACACGAGTGTTACATTAACATTTTCCAGTCCCCTGGGGTCCTCCCTGACTCCAGTACTTCCTGAATAATCACCACCAATGCATCCACAATCTTCTCAGCTATCTCCTTCAGAAACCTGGGATGTAGTTGATCCGGACCAGATTATTTATCCACCTTCAGATCTTTCAGTTTCCTCAGCACCTCTCCTTAGTGATGGCCACTACACTCACATCTACACCCGCAGCACCCCCCAACTCTCTTGAAGTCCTGGTATGCTGCTGGTGTCTTCCGCAGTGAAAAGTGATGCAGCGTATCTGCTCAGTTCCTCCGCTAATTCTTTGTTCCCCATTACTACTTCTCCAGCATCATTTACGAGCAGTCCAATGTCTACTTTTGTCTGTCTGTCACTTTTCATATATCTAAAAAAAGCTCATATAATCTTTCTTTGTATAACAAGCTAGCTTAATCTCCTATTTCATTTCCTCTTCTCTTATTGCTTTTATGGTTATCCTCTGCTGGTTTTAAAAGGCTTCCCAATCCTCTGGCTTCCCACTAATCTTCACCATCTTGTATGCTTTATCTTTTAATTTTATGCTGTCCCTGACTTCCTTTGTCCCTTCTGATAAGTGATACTTGCAAGGTAATAGTTGTTAAGGTATTGCTATCAATGACCATTTTTTCATGGCTGCCGTCTAAAACACAATTCATTGGCATATAAGGGAAGGAATTTAGTTACATATGAGCTTCACCATTGAGCAGTTATTAGTGGAAGCTTGAACAGAGCAGGGATGAATTATTTTCTGTCATGAGGGAAACTCATGAAGCTTAAGCAACACAAGAGATGTGGCAATGCTGGGTTGGATTTTTAAGCAGGATACAAGGCATCATTCTCGTCCTCTGCCTGCCTCGGTGTAAAGTCACAACATTGATTGACTTAAGTGCTTTTCGCCTCTCACAGGTGGAATGTTCCCACCTCTGAGAGCTGCCCACCATCAAGAGGCTAGCAGCTCTTCGGTCTCACCGGCATCACGAG